TCCTCTCCTGGAGATTTGAATGGGTCGAAACTTTCGATCGCCCCTTTAGTCTCCCTATAGGTGATTACTTTTTTCGCTATCTCCCAATCCTCTTTACCTCTAGCCCTTATGCAAACTTCTATCCGCGCTGGCATGCTTCTTATTAAATTATCAGTGTTGTCTTGGGGTATGTTTTCCCATTCTGCTAATGCTGCATCAATAAGCTGTGCAAAATTTCCTGAATTGTTTCGACGAGCTCTAACCCTGCTTTTGCGTTAGTCCCATAAGTGTTCGATAGGGTTTAGACCTGGTGAACCTGTAGGCCAGTCCAAAATTATGACACCTTCCGTATCAAGACATTCTATAGTCACTCTGCTGGTATGGGGAGGTGCACTATCGTGCATGAAGTTAAAATTATCTTAAAATTATCGTTAAGTTGCAGCTCTCCGCTCCCTTTGTAACGATTGGTTCTAGCATCAAATCAACATATTTTCGACCCGTTTAAATTTGTTGAAGTGATAAAAATGGAGTTTTTGCTCCCAGTATAATACCTCCCCAGAAGAGTACAATTCCTTCTTTATATTTTGGTACAGATTTGGCAACCTGAAGTTTCGCTTGTCTTCCTGGAGCTCTTAGAACCCAAATTCGATGGTTATCTGATCTTAGGCCAATTCTGGTCTCATCCAAAAAATAAAACATTTTGTTAATTCTCAGTTGTCCAGTTTTGATGTTGAATGCATCAATTTAACCGGTCAATTTTATTTTGCCGACATAACTATGAGATCCGTAACTCTCTCCTACTGTAAAACCCTTCAGCACGAAGCCTTTTTCTTTTGGTTTCAACTGATACGTTCACACCTGTAGCTGCCAGAAGTTGTCTTTGAAGCTCTGGATGAGAAACACTGGGATTTATTCTAGTAATTTAGTACACAAGGCGGTCTTGTTGTTCAGTTGTGACTCTTTGACGACTTTGTTTGGGCCTATCCTTATGTGTTCCTAATTCCAAGTACCTTGCATATGTTTTCGATACAACACCCTGGGTAACGCCTACTATCTCTGCTACGTCTCTATTTGGAGCATTCCTTGTTTGGTGAGAGCAATAATTCTTCCCCTCTATATATCTGTTAATCCAACATAAGGCATTTTTTCATTTTTTTGGAACGAATGAAAATTACTGGACAATCGTGATTTTACTACTGAACACAAAATAAAAAAGAAAATAAAGAGCGGCAGTCGTTTATTCTTTATTATCATGTTTATTTATAACAAAAAGCCTTATCTTAAAGCTGTATACCAATTTTTATCGTTTGCAAGATATTTAGTCAGAAATAAAGAGTGATTCCATATAAGTTTGGTTGTGTGTATACATAGGTTTGAATTTCAAATAATGATTTGAGCGATTTTATATCATACGGATTTTTTTTTCATCTCCCTGTTTGAATTCAATCGGTTAATTTAGACAGATCGAATATGTCGACTTTTCTTAACCTGTAAATCAAATTTCAGCTTTCAATATGTCGAATTTATGATTTAACCAACAACCACCGCTTATTCAAGATGATGTTTTTGTCAATTTTACGCATATGTAATTTTTTATTTTTATTAAATATTGGTATAGGCTAGTATAATAAAAAAATATGAAATATGAAAGTAGTTTCGAAAAATGTAATAATATACCGAGTGTTTTATTTAAAGTGACAAAGATGCTACTACTTTTAGAAGAAGCCGCAACACAGTAATGCTGAAAATAATTTAGCCAGAGGAAGTAGGTGCCTTTATACAAAAATCCATACCTATTTCTAAAAAAAATCCTATCAGTGGTTCTCCCTAAACGTCGAATATGCCATGGCCGTGTATCACCCTGTATAAGTAAATAATGTTAACAAATATTCTTAAAATATCAACTATTCGGCTTCTTATTTGATTATGCGCCTGCGGCACAATTATTTATATCATTACAAGCGTATTTTAATTCAGAGTCAGTTAATAACTCAGGTATAATAATACTACGGTTGAATAGACTTTCAATTCTAATTTAGAACTTCGTTAGCGCTCGGATTTTTTGCACGCGTTTTCAAAAATTCTAAGCTGCTGAGTTTTTTATTTTTTAATTTGAATTTGTAATATAAATGAATGAAAAGTATAATAACAGACTAGCTAATGTTAATTAGTAAAATATACTACCCAAAACAATTATCACATATTTTTTAAGAAAAATATTAATTTGAAAAACAAGACTCCATTACTCGAAGCCGATTTTTACCAAGATACCTTTTTACGTAATAAATGTCATAAATATATATTTTTTACTTAGTAGTTTTATCATAGTCATATTGACAGTCAATACAGAGTCATTTTGACATCAAAATGAAATTTATCATATCAAAAAACTCCAAGATACCAATTTTCATCCAAAGTTTATTTAGGTCAGAAATTATTTCGAAAAAATGGAAATAAAATTGAAACTTGTACACCCTGTATCTCCGCAGCGAAGCATTTTAGGACATACATTAATACAAACTTTTTACCTTACTTTTATCTGCAGAATATGATTCCCAAGTTGCCCGAATACTGCATGATGATAGTAGCATAAATCTCATTTAAATAATAAAAAAAAATGTCTATACCTATGTGGCGGATTCATCTCTCCAAAAAATCCTATGCCACTGCAAGAAGATCTACAAAATAGAATAATTATTTTTTGTAAACATTTCTGCGTTGATCCAAACGGAAACTACATGTCAGAAGGTAGGTTTACAGATATACAAATTTGCCGCCTAACGAACAAAAAAATGCTTAACGTTTCGTAAATTTTATCTATTTCCGTCGCTTCTTTGATTTTAAAGAACATAATATAAATAAACATAACATACGTAAAAATTAAAAATAATCATACAGAAAGTTTGGGGCTTTTTGGTTTTACCTTATTAAGTAATTGTTATCAGGTAGTAATTGTTAATTTTGAAGTTTAACTTGATATAATGGCATTTTAACAGAACGTCAACGGTTTTTGTAGACGTAAAAAAAAACATAGTTTTTTTCCTTATATTTTTTTTTTGCTTCAGACGGAAAAAAGATAAACTTTCCGAAATGTTATCCATTTTTTTGTTCGTTGGGCAAATTTGTATATCTGTAAACCTAACTTCTGACGAGTAGTTTCCGTTTGGATTAACGCAGAAGTGTTTACAAAAAAAAAATAATTTTGTAGATTTTCTTGCAGTGGCGAAATACCCATATAGGATTTTTTGGAGAAATAATAAAATAGATTGTCTTCTTGTGCTAACAAATCTCGCTTATTTAATGTCCCTCGTAAGTCCACATAAAACTTTTCATCAAACAAAAATAAGTTTTCTAGATTGTAAAATACCGTATTACAGTTTGTCTGGTTATGACTACACAATACAATCAGCCATGTAGATATACAAAGAAAAACAAACAAATGCACCCCAGTTTTAGTTAGTTATGTTCATGTAGTTTCTATTTTTACGTGTTGGTAACTGAAGACAAACCATATAGTATCAACAATAGTTTATATTGTATAGAAGGGAACAAAAAATGTATTTTAATTTGCCATTTTTAAAAAATACGATTTAATTTTAAAAAATTGTATTTTTTGAAAAATCTTGAACTTTCAAAGATAACGAAAAACTGAAAATAACAAAAAAGTTATGTTTGTTTGCCGTTATGGGGAAACCAACCACCCTCTCGTTATCGGTTTCGGGGCCTATATCCCATCATCAGACGAGCTAACCGGGCTGGATTTCTCAGAACGGCGAACAAACAGAAATCCAGCCCGGACAGCTAAATCTATTTATGGAGCCGCCTGAAAATGCTTCTTTCCATCTGTGTACTGGCGCTATTAGATCTTTATCTAATAACTTACCGACACCAACCGACACTAAACTAAGTCGCCAGTTGATATAGTAATTTGTTTGCCGTTCTGGGAAATCCAGCCCGGTTAGCTCGTTTAATGACCAACCCCGAAACCGGTAACGAGAGTGTGGATGGTTTCCCCCTAAAGCTGAGGCCGCAGTGCAAGCAAGTTACCTGGAGGGTTGTGGGTATCGAGGCGCCAAGCAACCCTCCAAGTAACCCGCGAGGTATGTTTCCGTAACATGCGATTTTAACAATACCAGCCGCAGTGCAATCCCCCAACTTAAGCCACAAAGCAACTCGCCAAGCGAGCCACTTGAGGATCAGTCGTGTTCGATATTTTTAGCCAGGCGTAAAGTAGTTTTGGTCTAAAAATGGAAGAAAAATTGTAATGCACAAGGGTTTTTCTGTAGAAATTGCTTCTCTGAAGTTTGTAGACATCCTTTCTAATTTGTCTTGAACTTTATTAAGTAGAAAATCAAACGATTTTACACTCATACGTGCATAAATAAAAAAATTGTCAGGGTAATTTCGCATTTTCTTGTAAACTCGCAAAAATTCTCCATCATGGTCTCTATGCAAGTTATACTCATGCACTCACATCTTCTTATTTTCCATATTTACAAAGTCCACATAAGAATTGTCACAGAGCAGAAGCCTTCTAGCAAATTTTGAAAGGGGCATGATACTAAAGACACTCACGGGAGCTACAATTTGCAACTGAACTTGATTAGATTGGTTATTGTTTTAGTAATTTTCCGTCCACTACTGCGTACAAGGTATATTACCCTCTAGCCATAAACCTTCACCCTCTACCCGACAAGCTTCCCTCCACCCGTCTATACTGCGGGCTTGGCTTAACGGCAAAAAAACATAACTTATTTTCAGTTTTTTATTATTTTTGAAAGCTGAAGATTTTAAAAAATAACAGTTATATGGCAAGAAATATTTTAAATATTACATATTGATACTGCAAGTAACTTTTACTTCCTATTTATATTTATTATTTATTAGATAATTTGATATAAACTCTTTAATAAATCATATTAAGTTTTTTTAAAAGATGTAATAATTAATGATATGTGTTTCTAGAATAAAAAAAATTTCACATTATTATATATAATTAATTATTGGCATTTTTTTTCTAGGTCCTGAATTATTTTAACAAAGTCCAGCTACGTTTTGCACGAATCCTGGTTTACTGGTAAGTTACGTTTTTGTTACATAGATTGTTAGCAAAACGAACGTCCAATGTTCAAAATATGATGCTTTGCTGTACCTATTAGTATTTTTACACTGCTGTTGTAACGCAAAGACCTCAACTTTTTATTTTTATAAGTTCGAGAACAAAATAATAATATACAATTATGTATAACTTACAAAATGTAAATTAGCAATAATAAGCCACATAATGCTTTATCAACCTATTGAATATACACTGACCGGCACGAAAAACGGGCACCTTAAAATTTTGATGTATTTTAATCTTTGATATATTTTGTTCTAGTGGCCGATTTTGATGATTTTTTGAGTAATATGTAGCTAAATTATTAGATTTTTTAGTATATCTTTCGAAATTAAAAATGAACGTTCATATCTGTCAATTTTACGAGGGAGAACAAAATGTTGATATTTTGGTGAAAGTTTGTAACACCCTGTGGAATTTGTTATGGTATCAAGGAACTTAAAACCCATTTTACCATCTAGGTCATCCTTTCTCGATAGTTTGTTTTTTGGTTCATCTCAATAGCTTTATTTTGTTTAAGATGTTTATTTTGTTGAAGAAGGCAGTAACATATTTTTGTATTTTTTATATTAAAACCGTGCCAAAAACCCGCGCCCCAAAAGGGTCCTATTTAACTGACCTAGTAAGTTGTGGTTCCCAAGCAGACCTTCTTGACATAAGATTTGCTTCGTTTAATCTTCTTCTTACAGTTCGTTCACTTACATGTACATTCTTTAGGTGCAATAGGGTAGATGTACCTGTTAGCCGGACACTACCTGTTGCCGGACATTTCGCGACAAAGTTTCAATAAATAGTAAAATAGAAAATTTAAAATATACAAACACGGTACCTATTTTCGAACACTATTTCCCCATAATGTAATTGTGTAATTGTGTTCAGGGATTCAACTAAAAACAAAAGGGATTAAAACTAAGAACAAAAACTTTCCAAATGCTGTGACGTACATGTAGGTGTTATTTTTGTTTAAAAACATTTTTCGCCCATGTTTTGTTTAATTTTTAAAATCTAAACGTATATTTTGAAAATAGAATAAATGCTTTCATTTTCATTTAACTTCTTGATTTGTTTTAATTCTCGTGGACGAATACCTGTAGTTCTCGGCCACTCGTCCGATAACTGGTCTTATAGTGTCCGACAAATATGGCGGGTGACCGACAAACGGTAAAATCTCTATTTTTTTAAAAAATACATTTTTCAAAATAATGGTATTAATTTGGCACTAGTTAGTGCATTGCAATCACTTCTCTATACTATAAGCTAGTATATAGAATGCTTAAAGTTTAACTAGTTTAATGCAGTATTTTTATATCAGCATTTTATTACAGAAATATCCTTAAGTGGCCGAAAACAGGTACTTTCACCCTACATTATAAATGTGAAAAGCTGGCAAATGGCGCGGCCGGCGGCCAGCGGTTTCTTAGCGATAATCTCATACGGTTCTCTCATAAGGTTTCTGGACGTCTAGCATATGAACTTGTTTCAAAGAAGCGATTGTACTGTACTTCGTGCACATCCTAGAGAAAGTAATAAAAAGTTACAAAAAGCACAAATGTTACAAAAATCTTGAGTTAAAATTTTTTTTATGCAATTTAATGTTCAATTATTTGCCAATCTGATAATGATAAATAATAATACTCGACATCCTAATGATCTCACTCTTATTACTGCTTGTACAGCTGCTTTTAGAAGAAGATGGAAACAAAAACGTCAGTCGAAGCTGAATTTGTAAAAATTTAGGACATCTATAATACCAGTTGTTCTAATTTAATCAGCCACTCTCTTTTTATTATCTTTCTCTATGGTGCACATTTAAATCTCTTAGCGATATAATTTTTAAATCTATCAGCTTCAATTAAAGCAACTTTAGCGGATACAACTTTTGGATTTAGAACCATTTCTGCTAGAGTAACAGCCAACAGACAATAATAATATAATTTTTCAATAACTGACATTAAATAAATCATAAACATTATTTCCAAAAGACATGGTTTTAACATAAAACTTACGAAACAAGGTTAGTGTCTTCTTCGAATATCTCCAAAAAAATAAAGCCTATTGAAACAAACCAAAAAATAAACTATCGAGAGAAGATGCACCTAGATGATAAAATAATTTAAAATTCCTTGTTTTTTTTTTAATATATTCCACAGGGTGTTCCAAACTTTCATCAAAATAGCAGCATTGTGAATTTCCTGTGTGTATAATTTGCAGATGGAAACTTTCATTTTTAATTTAGAAAGATATACTAAAAATTCAAACAATTTAGCTACAATTTGCTTAAAATATCATCAAAATCGGTCCACTAAAACACAATATATGTATAAAACTTTAAAACACACAAAATTTTAATGTGCCAGGTTTTCGTACCGATGAGTGTATAATACAGTTACCTAATTTGAACCAAAATTAATCTCTTTTAGAGGTTAATCTCAGATTAGCTACAATTTAATTTGACTAAATGGGATAATTATAATAATGCGACAAGGGATTTTATTAACTAAATAGAATTCCGTGAGTGTATAAACCCGTTGAATTTATTAGAATTTAATTAAAGAAAATCAGATTGGAATGAATTAATTATTCGTTTGTGTATTGTGAAGCAGTGGCAAAAACTGGCTAAATTCCCATGCGATATAAACGATTGAGAGAAGAAAGATTTACATGTTTATTAATATGAATAGTAACAAGCCTAACAACGAGGCAAATTTTCCATGTACGGCGTGTGTTGCTAAATATAATTATTTTATATTTAGCAACAACCGCCACCGCTGTACTTGGAAAATATCAAGTGGTTATATAATAAATACTTCATATTTTTGTTCTCTCCGACTTACTAGATCGCCATAGCGATTCACTCCTACACATCTAAACGCCGCACACTGGTCGATTTTCGTCGAAACGTGGCAAAAAATATTTTGCAACAAGAAAATGACCTGAACGTTAAAAATATGTGTTTCTTGTGTTTTTTAGTCAATTTGGTCCACAAATTTTAGCATGCACAGGATGTTTACAGTTAAATGTACCCCTCCTAATTAATAACTTTTTAATTTGACGTTTGGGAAAAAAGTCTTCAACATAAAAGTTTAATGATTTAATGGATTTTACTAAAGAACAATTTTTTCACTTATATTCATTTTGGTTACACAGGCTTGAAAATTCATAAAACTAAAACTAAAACTTGATCCAAAATAAAAAAAAATAAAAACTAAAATTATTTTAGAATTTTTAAAATTTTGGCAGGGCGCCATTTTGTTTGGGAAAGTGACAGTGATTTTAATTAATTTAATTTAAAATTTGGTCATATATTAAGAATGAAAAGACCTTTCAATTAAAATATTACTTAACGTTTTTTATTTAGTTTTTTTCAAAATGGCGTCCAGCTATCTTTTTGACATTTAACATAAAAAAATATGTCAAAAGATAGTAGGTAGGTATTAAGTAGTAAAAGATAGTTTGGTATTATACAATGACATCGAAATAAATTAGACCCGGCGACTTACATTTTGGCGAAATCCATCATTGCCTTAGAAAATTGCATGTATGCCAAATTTCCACTTCGACCGCATTTAAAAGGAAATCTTACCTACGTCTACGTACGGGGATAGCTAACCCACATTGTAAACCAGGAATTCCAAATATAGATTACGTCGTAGAATACTTTAAACCGATAATAATTAAAGGTAGCCTAGTATCACGAACTACTCCCAATCGGCATTAGCCGTTATTTAAATCTTCTGTAATTTTAATTTTTAGATTTTAAGAAATTTAACATAAAACAATCGACAACGTCGCAACGCCAGCTGATACTGAAAACGTACGCATTTTACTATCTTTACTCCTAAATTCAGGCAGCCAACAAAACATCCAGTTCGAATTCGTTCATAAATTGCTTTACGGCGTTGCCAATGTGTGGTTTTTCGAAATGTTTTATGAGGTGATTTCCAGATATTTTAGTGTTTTGTGGTATTATTTTTAGTGATTTTATTCAGAAACAATAAGACAATGGTGCGAACTTGCTTAATTTGCAAAAATAGAGACGATTTAAACCTAGAAGTTTGATTTCACAGGTGAGTAAGGCTATGTTACATCAGTGCGGTGCCGAAAGGTAAAATAGGAAAAAAGTTTTGAAAATATTAGTAAATCACACAGTTTTGGAATATACCGTTATAAGTAACGAACCATTACATTAAGTTAGTTTCGTCACGTTTGGTTTTATTGAATATCTTGATCATAATATTTAAATATTATCAAAACCAAGTATACAAATGCGAATATTAATTTGTTGAAAAAATATATAAAAAATTAAAGATGTCACAATTACGAAAAATGTTCAATAGTGATATATACCATATGATCGAAAAAAAAACGGCGTACATTTCTAAGCCATCTGGACGCCTTTTTTTCGATCATACTGATTTTTATTAGGATTTTTAGTTATTAAAGATGATTTTTTAAGTGTAAAATCAAAATAGATTTATATAATGGATATTAAATACTAAATACCGTATGATCGAAAAAAACGGCGTCAAAGACTGCTGGGAATAACAATCGAATATAATTTTGGCGAGGTCTATTTCTAGGTTTCATTTATTAAAAATTGACATAAAACTTGTCAAAAACTAATACTGATTATAGAAAAATTATAAAAGAATAGAACGTTTCCAGTAACACAAATCGATATCCAAAAAAAAATTTTTCGAATTTATATTACACCATTTAAAAATCAAATACAACCTTAAGGCGTACTACTGCCAGTAAGTGTCATTAAAAAATAAACAAGAGTAGGGGTCATCACCTTGCCAAAATTATCACCGATTGTCATTTTTGACGCCATTTTTTTTGATAGTATAATTTTTGTAATAGAGGAATGTATTTTTTGTTTTGTTTATTAAGACTAAAAAAAATTATATAGTTTAAAAGATGAATGCGTCTTTGTTTGATATGTTTTATTGAATTGT